ACCAGCAAGCTCTCTTTTTCTCTAAATATCTTGCCTTAAAGATGTCAGGAGCAGAGCCCACCTACCCCAGCCATACTGGTTCATAGGTTGAATCTTGGCTTGTTGAGATTTTTCTGTTGTTCGATATTTCCCTTGTGGATCTGGCTGTCAGGAATGTCTGTCCCTTTAAGGGAGGGGCTCTGCATTTTCAGTTTCACTTAGAAGGTTTCCTTAGGAAACAGCGACCTCCTGTGACTGAATGTCAAACCGGTGATACAGATTTCCATTCTGTATTCACAACAGATTTCTAATAATTGTCCGGTTTCATGCACAGAAACATATACCTTTTCCATGCAGTGCTTGAGTACATTCATGATCATACATATAAAAACTAACCCAACCATAAGGGTTTAATCCCGTGTAGTCATTAAGAAAAGTATAATTAATTATTATATTAAGTCACTCTATGTATTCATTGTTTAGTATTTTTATTTGAAAGGATAGGAAAAAGACATTAGGAAAGGGATATTTCCATGTTTATATGGCAAAAGAAAAATCCTAGAATTAGATACAAGTTAGTGCAAGATGCTAATGTAAGCGGGGGTTTGGGTTTACCAAACACAATTTTGGTACAATTTGTCATTATATTTCGATGCATGCTGTCTGGCCTGGTTAAAAGAGTGGGTGAACCTCCAGAACAAGAGGCTACTTGATTTAGAAAACCATCAATTAAGGTTGGATGGCATAGTTATCTATGGTATGAGAAAGTTAAAGTTAAAGTTGATTTTAATAATCATTTTGCTAGATATGCCATACTAAGAGTTTGGAATAAATATAAAACAAGGTTTTCTACAAAGTTGCCTCTTTGGGTTTCTCTCCAGGAAGCTTTTTTAAAAAAAGAAACGGTGATGAAGCCAAACTGGTGGACTTATGGTAAAATGATATCTTTCAACTCTGGTGATCCTACCCTAAAGTCGAGGGAAGAGCTCGATTTAGAAGGTTACATTTGCCTTTGATTTACATATCAACAACTGAAAGAAAAATTTAAACTAGATAGAAAGCATCATTGGCTTGGTTTTATTAAAAATGAATTGGAAATCTTACTGTGTGGTAGAGATGAGCATATTATTGCTAAAGCTTACAAAATGTTACTGAAACTGAATTTGGAAAGTGAACTTATAAAACATTGAATGATTCAGTGGGCAAGAAACTTTGGATATAATGTGATCCTTGAACAATGGGAATGTCAGGGTTGCAAGTAACACCCTCAACCAAAGAAGACTCTAAGGCTAGAAGTTCCTCAAAGTTCCATTTTATTAGAGATGTCGTGTTGGCACATCTGGGAAACCCCAACTCTGAAAACTTCCGGGTTTTCCCCACCCAAATCCCTTCCCCTGCACAAACATGTCCATCACATGGTCCAATCAATCCACCATCCCAACTAAAGATGCCTCCTAGTCACACCACTCCAGCTGCAGGCTAAATGTCCTTGACTCCCAGAGAAAAGAAGGTTGTTATGGCTCAATATCTCTACCACTCCATGCAATCCCCCCCTCCCAGTTTCCCACAGCACTAAGTGTGGAAAGATGGCCTCCAGGGTTCCACATTGATAATATGTGGACGGAAGGTTTTCCTCTTAAGTGACTAATAGGAGCAAAAAAAAATAACAATTTGCAATGTAGTATTCTCTTTTAAAAGAAATACGGTACTTTGATTTGGTTCAGCTTACAAATCTCTGTAAGCAAGCATTCCACTGTTCTTAAAGTCTAACACAATTCACACTAAACTATAATTTAAAAGAAAAAAATTATAAGATGATGTATCACTGGTATTTAACACCGAATAAGTTATCTAGAATGTATAAAAGTATTTCAAATGAATGTTGGAAATGTAAAAGTAAAGAAGGGACCTTTTATCATTTATGGTGGACATATGATAAAGCAAAGAAATGTTGAAGATTCATATTTTAATACAGAAAATTCTTTAAATGAAGATAAAGGTGAAACCAGAAATTTTCTTTTGGGTTTAATGGAAAAAGACTTGGCAAAAAAAATTAGAACTTTGATCTTATATATGTTAACAACAGTAAGGCTACTATATGCACAAAACTGGAAGGACACTTCAATTCCTATCATGGACAAATAGCTACAGAAGATGATGGAGTTGGAAGAGATGGCTAAATGGACTGTTTTGATTAAAGAAAAGAATATAGGTACTTTTGTTGCTACATGGAGATTACTTCTGAACTTTGTGTTAGAGGTGGAAAAAATGAAACTTTGATTATAGGTTTTACAGTTAGTTATAGAATCGGCTAGTTTATATTACTATGGAAAAGTAAAAAATTGAGGTTTGATGTTAATGCTTTATTCTACTGCAACAGAGGGAGTCAGAAGTCAACACTTTTTCTTCTTTTCTCCCTCTCCTCCTCACCAAGACATGGCTGAACTTTTACCGGAGAGGTACCTCTGACTTATAGTCTGGCTAAGGAATATTCAAGTCTTCCAAGAGACCGTCCTTTATGTCAGTGTTTCCCAACCTGAGTAACTTTGGCATCTGATTGTCTTCAACATATAGAATTCTCTACACATAGCCATGGCTAGAGAATTCTAGAGTTAAAACCTATGCAACTTAAAGTAGTCCAGATATTTCAAACGCTCTCTTTTATCCTGCCTTCATCAACCAAAAAGTATCTTTTTCTTCAGTTTTCAAGAGTGAGTGTCAAGGAGGTTACTTGCTTTATCTGTTGACTACTGTCTTTCAACAGAAGAGAATATACTGTATGTATAGCAACGTATCACAACGCTTCTCCTTTGCGGAGCTGGGGTGGGCATGGCCTGCGCATGATGCCAGTTTGACACCCATCCTAGGTCGTTCCTTGATTAGGATGTTGTTTTCTATTTCATTCTCTGGCGTTAATCCCTGCTTACTGTTAGCTGTTGGGGAGAATGTGTTTTTAGGCTTTTCCCTTACTTTTTGTTGTCTCTTGTGATGATGTATAATTGTGATTTATCTCTTTGTGTCTGTTGATGACTAACTTGCTCGAGTGCTAGATTTCCACAAATTCTGTAGCATGTTTGGATTTTAATTGGTTTAAGTTCATAGTTTCCCAGTTGAAACTATGGTTGGGTCTGTCCATATGTTGTGAAATTAAAGAGTTTTCATCTTCTATTTTGACTACTGGTTGGTGAGTAGTCACTCAGACCCATAGTGAGCTCGATAGGCTCACCTCTACAGAATCTTGCCAAATTTCTTGCCAAACAACTTCAGCCCTACACAGAATCCNGGTTGAATCTTGGCTTGTTGAGATTTTTCTGTTGTTCGATATTTCCCTT